ATGATGCGCATGAGTAGCATGATGCGCATGAGTAGCATGATGCGCACGAGTAGCATGATGCGCATGAGTAGAATGATGCGCATGAGTAGCATGATGCGCATGAGTAGCATGATGCGCACGCTGGAGGTACTCACATCGACGCCCGAGAAGCCGATCTTCTTGAACCAGTCGAGCAGCGCCTTCCTGGCGCAGTCCACCAGCACCATCATGTGCGACACGCACTGCTCGTGACAACCAACAATATTACCGTGATTATCATAACTGTTGTGATTACCATAACTACCGTAATTACCGTAATTATAGTAGCGGCCAAAACTATCATAATTATCATAACTATCATAATTATCATAACTATCATAATTATCGTAACTACCATAATTATCATAACTACAGTAATTAGCATAACTACCGTAATTATCATAAATACCAAAATTATCGTAACTACCGGTACCGTAATTAGCATAACTACCGTAATTATCATAACTAGCGTAACTATTATAACTACCATAATTATCATAACTACCATAATTATCATAATTACCATAACTATCATAAATAGAGTAATTATTATAAATCTACCATAATTATCGTAACTACCATCAGTTAAGATGAATGAACTGAAAACGGGGATTAAACGCGGAGGAATTGAAATTGTGGACTTAACCTGCATGACTGTCACGTCTGTAAGAGAGGTATTTAAGACGGAAAAACCGACGATATGGATCACTAAAGAAATTTAGAGGCGTGCGCGACCCTGCATTAGGCGCCGCCCGGGACTCGGGGAGCGCATAAATCAGGGGCCATACTTACAAAACTCGCTAAGTGCACGTAACTACTTACGCACTATTTTCTTGTCTATGATTGGTGGATTTTGCTTGCAAGGCCGTCAATGATTGGCTGATGAACTTACGATCTCTTAACTTTTTTTGAAAGTATAGGCCCAGAAACTGATTTCGATCGGGTGGATACGCAGACCCAGAATAACTTTGCGCCGAGTGTAGTGACTATTCGGCCGCCTAGGCCGTCCCCGAATTTTGTTAGGGATTTAAAATGGATGGATGAATTTAGGTCAAGAATCTAAGATGGTTGAACTAGTACAAGGTTAATCTAAGAGAAGGTCAGTTGAATGGATGTAGTTTGTTGTTCGTCTGTGACGTCACCGAGATCAGTGACGTCACAGACATCGACCAATCACTGAACTGTAATCAAACCAGACAACCAATCCGTCGCCCTCGTGGTCAACCCTAAATAGTTCAACCATGGATGCACCGTGGCGGGCGAAATGTCCTACATAGTTGAAGACTATTATCGTATTTAAATACTCAAGTAAATTAGTAGGTGCATAACTGAAACTGATATTCATAACTGAAAATAAATTAATTAAACTAAAACATACGTGTTAGCATGATGCGCACGCTGGAGGTACTCACATCGACGCCCGAGAAGCCGATCTTCTTGAACCAGTCGAGCAGCGCCTTCCTGGCGCAGTCCACCAGCACCATCATGTGCGACACGCACTGCACACAACAACCAACAATATTACCGTGACTATCATAACTACCGTAAAGCCTACCATAATTATCATAATTACCGTATTTATCATAACTAACGTAATTATCGTAACTACTGTGATTATCATAACTACCTACCGTAATTATCATAATTACCATAATTATCATAATTACCATAATTATCATAACTATCATTACTACAGTAATTAGCATAACTACAGTAATTATTATAACTACCGTGATTATCGTAACTACCATAATTATCATAACTACCATAACTATCATAACTAGTTAGTAGAGTAATTATTACAACTATACCACAATTATCGTAACTACCATCTAGTTAAGATGTATGAATTGAAAACAGGGATCAAACGCAGAGCAATGGAAAATGTGGACTTGGATGACTGTCACGTGGGTAAAAGAGGCATTTAAGACGGAAAAACTGACGATATATGGATGACGATATTTATAACTGAAAATAAATTAATTAAACTAAAACATACGTGTTATGAATATGATTGAGACAGAACGCTTTATATACGCACGGTTCATGATACACACACTCAGAGACATAAATTGGTCTTAATGTCCGAATAGTGATGCATTCACTGCACCTACCAACGATAGTGATGCGCCTTTTGGCTGGCTCAAACTGGGCCAGAATAACTCACAAAGAGAAAAAAATCTCTTTTTGATAAAGTTCCACGCATTTGAGTGAGTGCACACACCTGTTCGTCGTCAGGGTCGTCGAGATGCCCCAGCAGCAGCAGCATTGGGATAAAGTTCCACGCATCTGAGTGAGTGCACACACCTGTTCGTCGTGAGGGTCGTCGAGGTGCCCCAGGAGGTTCCACACGCCTATGGAGATGACCTCGAGCTCGCAGCTCACCCCCGACAGGTAGGGGGGCTCCTCGCCCCCCACGTGCCCCTCGTAAGACTGCACGCGCCGGTCCACAGGGTTCATGACTGTAGGGAACCGGGGTTCATGAAATGGGGTTCATGATGTGCGGTTCATGACTGTAGGGAACCGGGGTTCATGATGTGCGGTTCATGACTGTAGGGAACCGAGGTTCATGAAATGGGGTCCATGAAGTGCGGTTCATGACTGTAGGGAACCGAGGTTCATGAAATGGGGTTCATGACTGCCAGGAAATGTGGTTCAAAAAATGTGGTTCATGACTGCCAGGANCTGCAAGGACCCGGGGTTCGTGAAATGCGGTTCATGACTGCAAGGACCCGGGGTTCGTGAAATGCGGTTCATGACTGTAGGAACCGGGGTTCGTGAGATGGGGTTCATGGCTGCAGGGAACCGGGGTTCGTGAAATGGGGTTCATGACTGCAAGGACCCGGGGTTCGTGAAATGGATTCATGACTGCAAGGAAATGTGGTTCGTGAATTAAGATTCATGAATATGAATAAGGGTTCATGAAATGGGCTTCGCGACTAACCAGGAAACGGGCGTAAGAAGCATCAACTTTCATCGAAGTTAGTAGATACATCACGAAAAAAATGATATGAAACCACAAGCAAACTAGATACACTAAGAACTATTAAAGAAGAACAACCTTTCATTATTTTCTGCTCTCTCCATTATATAAACTAACATTGGTAAGCAGCAATATAGCTGAAGAACTGGTTCCTAAGCCAGAGGTTGGAGATAAGCATGGTCGCGATAGGACGATGACCAAGCAGGTTGTTCAGGTCCGAGACGAAGGGCCAGAAGCATTGCTTTCTCATGATGCGGTGACGAATATCTACGATGCGTAGCGGGGCTAGCGAAGGATCCATTTCTGTCATGAAAAATAACAATTAAAATATAATAAATTATTATCTATCTATTGTTTATTCTCAAGCATAGAAAACAATACAGCAAAGCAGTTCGTTTATTATCGGTAAGAAACGCTGGTTAAATAAATTGAAACTACACTCCACCCACCATGTGGGCGCAGGCACTATTAATTTAACGTCTATTTGTGTCTGTTTGATGCCTATATATCCCACACACCATGGAGTTGCTCCATTACGCACCATAGAGTTGCTTTAATACCCACCATGCATTTACTCCATCACGCACTATTTAATTTGACATCATTTTGTGCCTGTTTAATGCCATATATCCCACACACCATGGAGTTGGACTATGCTCTATGCACCATGGAGTTACTCCATCACGCATCATTTAATTTGAGGTAAATTTTTGCCTGTTTAATGTCTACCCCACATACCATGGAGTTGCTCCACTACCTATGCACCATGGAGTTGCTCCACTACCTATGCACCATGGAGTTGCTTCACTACGCACCATTTAACTTGAAGTCAATTTGTGCCTGTTTAAAGCCTATATATCCCATGCCCCATTTAGTTGCTCCACTACCTACGCACCATGGAGTTGCTCCACAATGCACCATGGAGTTGCTGCACTACGCACCATTTAACTTGAAGTCAACTTGTGCCTGTTCGAAGATCCTCTGAATGCAGACGACGAGTACATCCAGCAGAGGGTAGTCCTGCACCATCCTGAGGGCGAGCTTCTGGTCAGAGAACAGCTGCACGGACACGTGCACAGCCCGGTGACTTGCTGACACGAAGTCTGAACTGTTGTTCAGCATGTGGCAAATACGGCCGTAGTGGCATACGAACGACCGTGTGAACGCGTCCTGTGAGGGGTATGAATGGTGAGTACGGCCGTAGTGGCATACGAACGACCGTGTGAACGCGTCCTGTGAGGGGTATGGTAAGGGGTGAGTAGCATGTGGCAAATACGGCCGTAGTGGCATACGAACGACCGTGTGAACGCGTCCTGTGAGGGGTATGGTAAGGGGTGAGTAGCATGTGGCAAATACGGCCGTAGTGGCATACGAACGACCGTGTGAACGCGTCCTGTGGGGGTATGAAGGGTGAGTAGCTGACACTCATACGGCCGTAGTGGCATACGAACGACCGTGTGAACGCGTCCTGTGGGGGTATGAAGGGTGAGTAGCTGACACTCATACGGCCGTAGTGGCATACGAACGACCGTGTGAACGCGTCCTGTGGGGGTATGAAGGGTGAGTAGCTGACACTAATACGGCCGTAGTGGCAGAAATGAATAATATTTAGAAATAAATAATAATAACCGACCATGGAATGGATTTCAAAGAAAAATTAATGAATGCACCAAATTAATCAAGAATGTTTCTGTCAACAAAGTTACAAAAGACTTGTTCAATATACATAGTTAAACTGATTCAATATACCGAGTTGAACTTCTGTAAACCTATGAATTGGTTCATGTAAATTGTAAATGGAGTAGACAAATACAGCAATTAATGCAATTGCCACACAAAATAACAACAATAAATTAATATTATAATTAATATATAAATGGGTATTAATAACAACAACAAATAATTAATAAATAAATGGGTACAAATAAAAGATCTCCATCGTAATAGGTCGTAACAACTATTATATCTGTGCAAATGATATATATCTATGAATAATACTCCTCTTCAAATTACAAGTCTCCCCACAAAATATGTCTTTACAATAAATCTTATACAATTACAATAAAAATAAACATCTCGTCCATTACATTCTCATACATTAAATAAAGAATAAATAAAATAACAATAATAATAAACACTTCATTCATTATATGCTCATTCACTAAATAAGAAATGAAGTTATAATAAGTAGGTACCTCGAAGACAGAGTCAGCGTACATTAAATACATTAAATAATAAACAAATAAAGTTATAATAAGTACCTCGAAGACAGCGTCAGCGTACATTAAATACATTAATGATAAATAAATGAAGTAACAATAAATACCTCGAAGACAGAGTCATATTAAGTACATTAAATAATAAACAAATAAAGTTATAACAAATACCTCGAAGACAGCGTCAGGGCGCATGCTGAGGAGGAAGCAGGAGAGCTTCTCAGGGAACTCGAAGTTGATCATCCAGAACACGAGCTCGTCTAGGAACGTCGCGTGCCCCACGGCCCCCACGGCACCCGTCACGTCTGGGGGCACGTCGTGTGTATTGTATGCTCATATAACGAAGATAAACACGAGCTCGTCTAGGAACGTCGTGTGCCCCACGGCCCCCACGGCNCGAAGACAGCGTCATATTAAATACATTAATAATAAATAAATAAAGTCATAATAAGTACCTCAAAGACAGCGTCAGGCCGCATGCTGAGGAGGAAGCAGGAGAGCTTCTCAGGGAACTCGAAGTTGATCATCCAGAACACGAGCTCGTCTAGGAACGTCGTGTGCCCCACGGCCCCCACGGCACCCGTCACGTCTGGGGGCATGTCGTGTATATTGTATACGGTACTCGTATAACGAATATTTATGCATCTATATATAGTCGTATAATAGTTATATATATCTATAATATGACGTATGGGAAAAATCCTCTATCGTATAATTGTAACTATAAAATATTTAGTCGTATAATAGTCACATATAATAATCCGCATTTGTATATAATATGACGTATAGAAATAATCCTCTATCGTATAACTGTAAGGCATTAAGGTAACTACAGTAACCATTACCACCATTACCATGGTAATCACGCGGCATTTGTATGTCAGGGAGGGCAGCGAAGGCTGCGCTGTAACTACAGTAACCATTACCATCATTACCATGGTAATCATCAGGCATTTGTATGTCAGGGAGAGCAGCGAACGCTGCGCTGTAACTACAGTAACCATTACCATCATTACCATGGTAATCATCCGGCATTTGTATGTCAGGGAGGGCAGCGAACGCTGCGCTGTACCACCGCCAGGAGGCGCTGATGCTGGCGTGGCCGCTGCTGCGCGTCCCGTCCGGCATCAAACCTTCCCGGAAGTGAGCGTATGCCTGCGAATATATTATATTATTAACGAATAATGGAATAAATTCAATTATTTATTAATTATAGTGTAATTCCCAGATTATTATAGTGTAATATAGCGTCCCTTAGAGTCCAATTAACCTGCAAAAATCACAAGAAAACCTTCCCGGAAGTGAGCATAGGCCTGCAAATATGTTATATTCTCAATTAATTATGCAGTAATTTCAAGTATTTATTAATTATAGTGTAATTCCTAGATTATTATAGTCCAATATAGTATCCCTTATGGCCTTCCCGGAAGTGAGCGAATGCCTGCAAATATATTATATTTTTAATGAACCATGGAGTAACTTTAGTTATTCATTAATTATGATGTAGTTCCTACATTATTATAGTCTAATATAGTGTCCCTTATAGTCCAATTAACGTGCAAAAATCACAAGAAAATACATTATATTCTCAATGAATAATGGAGTAAATTCAATTATTTATTAATTATATTATTCTCCTAGATTATTCTGGTCCAATATAGTGTCCCCTATAGTCCAATTAGCCTGCAAAAATCACAAGAATATACGCATAAGAATAAATAAATGAATTAAGCAGAATAAAAAAGTCAGCAGCTGGCCAAGGTTCCTGGATAAAAAAAATCAAGTGCAGAGCATTGATCATCTCAATGATCAATTCCCTGCGCGATCACTGATCAATTGTAGAGCATCGATGACTTGAGTGATCACTGATCACGTGCAGAACATTTATCACCTGCGTGGAGCAGAGCACATCACTCATCACCTGCGTGGAGCAGAGCACATCACTCATCACCTGCGTGGAGCAGAGCACATCACTCATCACCTGCGTGGAGCAGAGCACATTACTCATCACCTGCGTGGAGCAGAGCACATCACACATCACCTGCGTGGAGCAGAGCACATCACACATCACCTGCGTGGAGCAGAGCACATCACACATCACCTGCGTGGAGCAGAGAACATCACACATCACCTGCGTGGAGCAGAGCACATCACTCATCACCTGCGTGGAGCAGAGCACATTACTCATCATCACGGCCCCCACGGCACCCGTCACGTCTGGGGGCATGTCGTGTATATTGATTACTACTTACGTACCTATATAACGAATATTTATGCATCTATATACAGTCGTACAAGTAAGGCATCAATTACGGTAACAGCAGTAACGCTTACCATGGTAACCATGCTACATTATATTGTAACAAGTAAGACATTAAGGTAACCATTACCATGGTAATCACGCGGCATTTGTATGTCAGGGAGAGCAGCGAAGGCTGCGCTGTAACTACAGTAACTATTACCATCATTACCATGGTAATCATCCGGCATTTGTATGTCAGGGAGGGCAGCGAAGGCCTCGCTGTACCACCGCCAGGAGGCGCTGATGCTGGCGTGGCCGCTGCTGCGCGTCCCGTCCGGCATCAAACCTTCCCGGAAATGAGCATATGCCTGTAAATATATTATACTCTTAATGAACCATGGAGTAACTTTAATTATTTATTAATTATGATGTAGTTCCTACATTATTATAGTCTAATATAGTGTCCCTTATAGTCCAATTAACGTGCAAAAATCACAAGAAAATAGGCCAAAGAATAAATAGATGAATTAAGCAGAATCAAAAGTCAGCAGCTGGCCAAGGTTTCTGAATAAAAAAATAAGTGCAGGGAATTGATCATCTCAGTGATCAATTCCTGCGCGATCACTGATCAATTGTAGAGCATCGATGACTTGAGTGATCACTGATCACGTGCAGAACATTCATCACCTGCGTGGAGCAGAGCACATCACACATCACCTGCGTGGAGCACAGCACATCACTCATCACCTGCGTGGAGCAGAGCACATCACGGAATATCTCCTCCACGCGCAGGTTGCGCTCACAGAGCGCCTGGCAGAAGGAGAAGAGCGCGTCCAGGTCGCTCACGGCCACGCTCACCGTCGGGTCAGCGTCGGAACTGCAGTAAATAACACTATTTTATTAGTATTATTATATTATTACTCTATTCTGACACAATTATTAAATAATTTAAGAGAATATTTTGCAAACAAAAAAATTCTGACCAAAATTACAGCCACGCTCACCGCCGGGTCAGCCTCAGAACTGCATCAAAGAACACTATATTATTAGTATTATTATATTATGACTCTAATTCTGAGACAATTATTAGGAAATTTAGGAGAATATTCTGCAGAAAAATCTGACCAGGATTCAGAAGATAATGCTGTAGAAATTATTGAAGTATAAATCTGAGAAAATTCTGAAGGCACTAGTTCGGTGCTTTTTGTTCTTTGACAGAAGAGATTGTAAGTAAAATCTGTGAATAGATTTTAGAATATGAGGAATTGAAAGAAATTGATGCAGCCGAGGATGAATGGAGCCATACATCAATGCGGCCATGCATGAGTAATGCCATGTATGCATGTAGCCATGAATGAACAATGCCACGTATAAATGTAGCCAAGTATGAACGTAGCCATGTATGAATACAGCCATTTATGAATGTAGCCGTGTATGAATGCCATATAAGAATGCCATTTATGACTGTAGCCATGTATGAATGCCATATATGAATGTCATGTATATGAATGGATCATTACCTTGCCTCCCTGAGATGGTAGACCATGCGCACGACGATGTGAGGGACGAGCTGCTGCAGGAGGAGGAACAGGTGCTGTGGTGCCTTCGTCACGTGAACCATGCCACTATAAGCCACATAACATTCCACACTGAGCCACACAATTAACATCTTACACTTCTTAACACACTATGACATACTTCGTAACACACCACGCCACACCAGCCCATGGCTCTGCACCCACTCCACACGTGATACCACCACACGCCACACCCCAGCACCCAGCCAGTGTGGCGCAGTAAGGAACACCATGACACACTCATGCCACACATGAAACACACGCCACACGCCATCACCCACCCGGTGGGGCGCAGTACAGACGAGTTGCCGCAGTCGCAGGCGCCGCCGGACTGCGAGCGGAAGAGGTTGTAATCGTGGCCGCGGTGGTCGCCGTCCTGTGTATACAGAGAATGGTTAAAATACGAGGTGGGTACAACATGAGGTGGGTCAAACATGAGGTGGTAAAATATGAGGTGGGTCAAACAGAAGGTGCATGGGTGAAACATGAGGTGGTAAAACATGAGGTGGGTCAAACAGAAGGTGCATGGGTGAAACATGAGGTGGTAAAACATGAGGTGGGTCAAACAGAAGGTGCATGGGTGAAACATGAGGTGGTAAAACATGAGGTGGGTCAAACAGAAGGTGCATGGGTGAAACATGAGGTGGTAAAACATGAGGTGGGTCAAACAGGTGGGTCAAACACGGAGTGGGTCAAACACAGAACGGGGGTAAACATGGGCCGGGTAAAACAGAGGACGGGCCGAGTCAGACCCTAACCTAGCCCAACACTAATCTGGCCAATTACCTGGGCCAAATTACCCAGTCAAATACTCAATCCTAACACTATCGCTATCAGGTTCATTATCGTCAAACATAACAATAAAGCCAATAGCAGCATTAAAAATTAGTAATGCTCATTATATCGTTTATGGAAAAGAAACAAAATTGAATATGAACGCGAAAATTCATGCTTAAACTCTAATTTACAATAGTTAAAAAAACTCATAACGCTGAAGAACGTTCATCATAAGTTCGCTTCCATATTCTATGGAAACAAAAGTATGGAAAAGGAACTAGCATTTTCGCTTTGTCCCTTTATGCTTCTCGTAACAGGTTTCCATGTATCCTGAGAACTTTATGCGTTACGTAGAGTGCAGCATTGCAGCAAAACGCCTAAAACGCTCAGGAAATGCACAAAGTTGTTGGCATTTTCAAGGCAAAAGTATTGAAGCTCGGAAGGGTTACAACCGCAACGACTTCACCTCCGCAATAACTTTAGCCAAGAGGTCACCCCGCAAACCGGCGAGACCCATGCACACAACACAAACAAACTCATAATCAGTATCCTGTGAAGTATCCTTCACTATTACCGCCAACTAAACTAACTTGAATCAAACTTACTAGTTCGTAGTATAATGCGCTATTTTTCTGATATCTCACGGACACTCTGAAGCATCAATCCACGAACACACTCAATGATGAGAATTTATCGGCATAAATTTATCACACGATCGCTGGGGGTAATGATAAACACAAATGCGCACCACATCGTACAATCACTAACCACAATGCTGATGATAATCACTACTTAGGACACGATGAGCTACTTACATTGAAGCAGCTGCTGCAGAGCGACATGCAGGGAGAGATGCAGCGCTACTTACGTTGAAGCAGCTGCTGCAGAGCGAGCGACATGCAGCGTTACTTCTGTCTCTTATACACATCTAGATGTGTATAAGAGACAGACGCAGCACTAGTCAGGGTGGTGACGCGAACAGAACCTGCGACACGCAGCACTAGTCAGGGTGGTGACNTCAAAGTCGTGCTGGTCAAACCAATGTAATTTACGTTCTGGAGAAGTCTACAACCTTCTTTGTGGCAGGAATATTTGTAAATAACATTAGTTTCTTGTAAATAACATTAGTCGAGCCCATTACAAGAGACAAGAGCCCCTGTCTCATCATGAGAGAGTCTCATAATGAGACCCTCACTCGCGCGACATTGGAGACCCACACCAGAATCATCATGAGATGCCCAGACGCCACAAGACTGGCCATAACTGAGGCTCTCATCATCAAGCAGGAGTCTCCAGCTATTAATTTACAAACTACCGGATTTGTCAGGACGTTAAAACTGTTCTCGTAATTCAAACTTTGATTACAATCTGAATCCATATATACCCACTGTTTAATTGTACTAACGTCATCTCGAAATTTCAAATTCAAATGTTGCAAAGCCCTTCTCTTACTTGATAATGAATGTAGTTGCATTCTAAACGTCGTAAATTATAATAAAACGTCCCTCGGAAACCTGATATTCGAGTTTTCGATTCGTATCGTAAGACTAATTCGCCGAATAGAGAAAAACAATATAAATTTTTCAATAAGAAATACTCTCTGGTCTTCAATGAAATCTGTATTAAAGAACAATTTCTACCAAACTACACAAATGCTCAGGTATACATACACTTAATCATATAGCCAAAGTCTACAGGTTGGTTTGAACAATTAGGATACCTAGTAAAAGGTAGAAAATCTCTGGAATAAAAGGCAGAATTCGTATGCATGTATTATAAATTCATCGCGATAGTTATTATTATATCAATTATTTGCCGAATAGCGAGAGGTAAACATGACGGAGAAAATTAATAGGAAGAACTGAATAGCGTATCACATGGTTTAACTGCGAGGAAAAACACATCGGAATTGAAAGCCCTGCTATCGTAAATACGCTTCATTAATGGGCCAGCTGAGTGAGATAAGACAACTCAACGCATTACACGTGGAGCAGTGATGGGGCGAGCAGGAGCAGTGATGGGGCGAGCAGGAGCAGTGATGGGGTCCCACATATGTGGCATATTAGTCCAGCCCCACATATGTGGCATATTAGAACAGCCCCACATAGTATGTGACATATTAGACCAGACCCACATATGTGGCATATTAGACCAGTCCCACATATGTGGCATATTAGACCAGACCCACATATGAGGCATATTAGAACAGTCCCACATATGTGGCATATTAGACCAGCCCCACATATGTGGCATATTAGACCAGTCCCACATATGTGGTAGTCAATTTTAGCACATTGTTGAATGTGGCAGTCAATTAACAATTTGGTTCAATTGACTGCAAGTCTCATGCGAGCGAGTGCACTATGTAATATGTAAGAAAGCATTAGATGGGCCAGGTGAAGTACACTTATTGCGATGAAGCAACATATGTCTCGTTACCGACCAAATTATCTTTGCTGTAACTTTGTAGCAACATTAGGAATTGAACTTGCAAACCGAAGTCATGCGGTCTTTCCACTCCCTTGCTTCATCTGGCACTCCCAATTTTACCTATTTAGTTGTGCTCCAAGGACTGAAAGCAGGAGTGCATTTCAATATTTGCTTAGACCACGCTCTCTAAAATTAACGGCACCGTACAGAAATAAGTCTTTCTGAAAAATAATAATCATTGCTAAATAAAGAGTACACAGCCCAAAGGAAAAAAAATTTGCAGAAATTTAATTTATACTATTAGCAATAGTACCGAAAACAAGCGCTAAATTAAACACTCCTAAATAAAGATAACAAAGTCCCATGGATAAAATAAATTGTCAAAATTTCGTTTCGCTGAGCAATATTGTCAAAAAACGTATACAAAGTTAGAGAGTGTTGCTGCAGCTACGGAGTATAACTCGTTACGCCTTCGTACAAGCTTAGTTAGTCAACGATTGGTTGCGGGCACGACTGCACGGAGAATTGCTTGCTCCATAATGTTATTTAAGTGATGGTAAATAGCGGCAAACCACAAGGATCAAGATGTGGTCTGAGGTGAGAGTCTCCTCAGGCTATAGATTCAAGTCCGCCTCCGATCACGGGGCCCATGCTGCACGCCATGCGCAGTGTTCCAACCTGCATGAATACATTCACGAATTTGAATTTTAGGGAATTTCATTCATTGAAAAACGACTCAATAGTTCATTTTTTCTATTTTGCATTGATTTTAAAATATTTAAACCCTAAAATTCAAAAGCCAAGTCACCCAGCTTCGAGAAAAGAAAAACTGTCATCTACAAGCTATACCGGAAAATCAACGGAATCCTAACAGAAAAATACGAGTCATGCGACTCATCTCAACGCACATACCACACCACGACCATCGAAACGATTTACTTAAGAAAAATTATTCCACATACACAGCACGCATGAGAAGCTCTCATCATAAAACAAGGAAGGGTTCAGCCTCTAACTAACCCAAGTCGGGGCTTCAGATGTGAAGCGATAATTACGTACGAAGGTGGGTGATAAATTCGCAGCACATGGCGTACACAGCGCCAGATGATGAGTCTAAATTCGAAGTACTTACGTACATAGCGCCAGAAGATGGGACTAAGTTCGAGAAAATTAGCGTACACTGCATCAGAAGATGAGTCTATCATGACGCCTGCAGCGAAAACACCAGTGCAAGTACAGCCTGATTGCTCGGATTGCACAGACTTTATCGAGCCAGCCGCGGGGCAAACCAAACAATGTTTGGAACTCTCAAGTGAAAATTCGTTTGTGGGAAAATATGAGTGGATGTGAAGGTTAAATAAGTGTTTATGTATGACAGTTAGATGGACAAACGCAGGCTTCCAAAATATAACTTAATCAGAGTAAAAATGATTCATCTTGGGTCGCTGGTGTTTGGTCGATGATGACTTCCAAATTCTTTCTCTAATTTAGTGAGTACAAAAAGTACTTATTAAACGAGAGAGGAGGAAAAATCGCCGTTTAATGTCTTAAAATTAAATAACAGCTTAGCCTCCTCTTCACTCAAATCTCGAATTCGTCTAGGCAGGTCAACCGCCTTTCTGCAAGTGTTGAATGTGTGTGTGAAGTGTTAGGTTCATGTATGGTGTGTTGGGTGCATATTGTATGTATGATGTGTTGGGTGCGTATTGTATGTAGGACGTGTTGGGTGCGTATTGTATGTATGGTGTGTTGGGTGCGTATTGTATGTATGGTGTGTTGGGTGCATATTGTATGTATGATGTGTTGGGTGCGTATTGTATGTAGGACGTGTTGGGTG